CAAAATAATCACAGAAATACGTTTTTTGTGCAACCGTCCGCGAAATGAGCTTTCGCGGCCGCTACACAGGTCGTGCAAAATGTATCAAATCTATACAATTTTTTTGTAACTTTACATAATTTTCATAGTTGCACAAAAAATAGTGTGTAACCAATGACCGCGAAACGCGAAATTTTTCAGCGTCCTCGAGATTATCTTGCCTCGGCCGCAAGCGGCCTCGGCGATAATTTTTCTCTACGTACGCTAAAAAGGCATTTCGCGGCCTCGGTATACGAATAACTATTATATGACGTTTGAAAATAAACAAATTTTTATGCTTCATAAATAAGACTTAAAATTTCCGTAAGCAAATCAGCACACATTTCTTTTGATGGCATCTAATAAATAGATCATAAACTATTTGCTATCGCGTAATCTGGCGGTCTCTGAACATTTCACTACATTTAAGGACCTATTCTGAATGTGAATTTTGGAAATATATTTCGTTCTATATCGCCTCGGAGATGGTAACTGTTTGCTTCTGTATTAGACTAGGAAACAGACATTTTTTTTTTTACTTTTTCACTTTTTCATGAAATACAAAATCCGAAGAAAATTTCCCATTCAAAATGTTTCTTGCCTAGTTTGGATCAACAAAACCTTGTTATTCCTTCTACAAGTATTAGGTTTATGGTTATTTGCAAATATTTTAGTACATTTTGGTTCAGAATTCAATGACTACCGATATGACACCTGTTAAAATGACTGAAAAAACTTAGCATCAGGTGGAAACGATAAGATATATTGCACGATCGGGTTTATAGATCGCATTATAGATCGCATTATAGATCGCATTATAAACCTCGGCGCTTCGCGCCTCGGTTTATAAAAGCGCTCGGTATATAATGACCAACTTCTCTAGATATAACTGTACTAGTCTATGATAATTAATTACCTATATTGCAGTGAGTTATGGGGGGAGTTACTCACTACCTAATGCATACCTCTAAATACCTTTAATAACTGCATTTTTTTTTAAAGTTTTTTCTAATAATTACTCCAAATTTTAATTATTTTCCAAGTTATTTTTATCATTCATTAATGGAACGCGATTACATGAAAGCGTTGGATAAAACGCATCAAGCAAATGAGTTATTGGGTACAGTTGTGATCAAAAAAAAAAATAGTACAAGAAAAATCTCCAAAATCTCCTGGTCTATTACACTGAGAAAAGTCCCAGGAGAAAATTCTTTGCTCGTTTTTTTTTAGCTGTTACAGTGGAAAATGTTTTAGAGGTAGCAATGTTAGTTTGCTTCTACAGAAAAGACCACTTTGCTGAAACTACTTTATTGAAACTGCAAAGATATTTCTTATTCCAAAACCAAACTTTGCTGTTATAGCAAAATTAAAATTTTATGAAAATATTTCTGCTTCTCCGAAATAGAACTTTTCTAAGATAGATAGATACTTTACTGTTGCAGCAAAAAAAAATTCCTGTAATTTTTGTTATTGTTACAGTAATGTTTTTTGCTACCCTAGCCAAATAACTTAACTAAAAATACCGTTCGGACATTTCCGTGATTTCTTCGGGTCCAAAAATAACCGATAAAATATGTTTCGTGTTCATTTTCTTCCATTTTAGTTTAGTAGCTTACGCCGTACGGTGTGGATCGTGGATGCTGTCGAGTCAAGTCGAGTGTCGGTCGCTGGGAATCTTTTTGGAAATGGTGCCAGCGCATCCATCAAAACTAGCGGAAACAACTCTAGCGTCAAACTTTTCATTAATTGACATTATTTCAGATCAGGTAATGAAAGTTTAGGGGTTTAAATAGAGTTTGTTTATCTCCTGGTTTTGTTATGATGGACGCGCTACTACATATTTCCAAAGATTTCCAGCAAAATATTTTTGCTATTGGTAAGACAAATAACTTCCCATGGCTAATAAAACACTTGGCTGATTCTGGCAAGAAATTTTTTGTTCTGAGATAAACGCTTTCCTATTTCAGGAAGCATTTCTAATAACAACAACAAATATCTTTTCTGTCTTAGCAATCTACTTTTCAATAGCTAAAAAGGATGTTTTTGAGGGTATATAACCTCTTTTCTAGGACAGCATAGTTACTTTCCTACGACAGCAAAGTAGCTTTTCTATGCCAGCAAAGTGACCTTGTAGAAACTGTGAGTAAATTCTTTATAAAGTCACTTTGCTACCGCAAATAAACGGTGCCAGTAAAGTTATCTTTTCGGCGGTAGTAAAGATTTTGGCTGTCCCCTATGTAGCCAAAATTTTTGGCTACGGCAGCAGAAAAATTAGCTATGACAATGAAAGATTTTTCTCAGTGTATACATTAATTTAATTCATAACCAAAAATGACATATTTTTGTCATTTTTCGACAAGTTTTTAACCTAGAAAGCTTCAGATAACATTATTTTGACATTTTTCCGCCCGTTTTTAGCCTAAAATATGTCATTGCCTGTCAAAATTTTGTATGTTACACCGGGAGCTCAAATTGTGGTTAATAATTTTTGTACTACTTTTTTTTTATCGCAACTGTACATGGGTATATGCTGTCACTGAGAAAATTTGAGCATGGGCTAATTAGCAGAATTTGAAAAATCTTTATCCCATGTTAATACAACCAAACCAATCATATTTATTTGATTAGGGCAAATATTTAACATTCACCAACATGTTTGCAGCAAACAGAAAGTGAGTGAAAAGGTTGAACCTTTTGAGGTCATTTTTCAAATCGCTTAATACAAATCCTTTATCGGAAAATCAAGCCGGAAATTCAAGTCTTGGGCCAATTTAGTCAAAGTTTAAACCGATGGTGAAGAAAATCGGTGTCCTAAATGTACATAAATTTAGTATAGATTTGACAATTATTCTAAATTATACGGATTTGAAGTCCTCTAAAATTGTATTGATAGGTACTGTTGGGAAATACGTAACTAATAACACCAGAATTCAGAATTGAAATATGACTAACTGCCTTTGCTGTCTGCAATCGCTTTTTCCGCTTAGGCGGAATCTTGGATAATTTCGGGTCGGTTTATAGTAAACGCACAGATTTAATTTTCAAACTTATTCATTATATAATCGACACCAAGATTGTAATCCTAATTTTCCTAAAATTGCGATTTTATTTATTTGATGTACAATTTTTAGTTAGGTAGTTACTCACTGTTCAATGTTCATTTGAACTACAATAACCACTTTAAAGCTACCAGAGAAATTTGAACAGATCCTGCCTACCAACGACCTATTGAATCTTGGCATATGTAGGCAGAAAAAGTTTCCCCGCAAATATATTTACATAACGGTAGCACAAAAACGTCATTAAATTTATAATCTACTAGCTGACCCGGCGAACTTCGTACCGCTTCTGAATTATTAAATACCTGTTACCTAAATGTTGTGTTAACGTACCATCGTCACCAAAAGTAACTAGGACACAAATAATGCATAATAATCTCTTGGACTAGTTCTACTGTCATTCATTTCAATGCATTTAATGCATAGTTTGACAAATATTTGACAATAAAATTCATATAATGGGACAAGAGCTAATGTGATGGTGAATTTGACTTTGGTTGAAGAAAATTAATGTTTACTCTCTGGATCAGAAGTCACCTGAAATTAAAGTTTTACTTCATCCCTTTTTAGGCAGCTTGTGGGCATTATTCTTGTAAAGTGTACGACCAAATAAATAAACTCAGGCACAGGAATGTTCAAAGAATGCAAAGAAAATAAAAAATCTCCAGCGCAGCCCTGTTTTACTCTATCTACACTGCATGCACTGCACTACTCCATCTGTTCTACTCTATCTGCACTATTCTATCTGATTTACTCTTTCCGCACCACTCTATCTGATCGGAATAGTGGAATAGTTCTGATCGGAATAGCTCCAGTTCCTGAGCAGCATTGTTCTACTGTATCAGCAATGAAATTACCGCGCAACGGCGAACTTCGTTCTAGGTATCAGAGATGGCGCCGTATACAAACTGGTTTACAATGAAAATGTGGCGGTAAACTTGGTATCGGTTAAAAGAGATGGCGCCGTATGCGGGCTTATTGAATTTTTTTCATAAATAATTGAAATAAGGTTTTTTTTTCGATTCATTATGTTATTAGGGACAAAGGCAAATCCAATAAAGCAAAAATCATAAAAATCAGTCCAGCCGTTTTCGAGTTATAAGTGTTAGAACCAACACAACTGTGTTTTATATATATAGATAGGCGGAGAAAGGAATAAGAAAATGGAAAAAAACTGTCACTGTCTTGTTGCTGCGCACGCAGTAAACTCTTTTATTAAATAATACATATTGTATTGAACGGCTTCAAAATCTTTATTTAAAGTTAATATACTCCCAAAATATCAAGTTTAGGCTTCACGATCAAAAACCCTTTTTGTGAAGTTACCTCAAGTAAAAAACTAGTTAGTGTTTCGCCAAACGACCTAGAGGGAGTTCAGGAAGTAAATTTCTTTTTTTCTCTCACTTGGCTAATCATTGGGACTGAACTTTATGGGAGCTCTCTCTTCTTGCTAGTTTTACGTTAGATGCATTCGGTAGAAACTTTTCGGCACAGCGTTTCACGTGATTGACCCTCAAGCACATTCCAGGCTATTTGTTCCAGTCAAATTGGGTCTCGGATAGTCACTACTAGGAAAAGTCTTCTTTCTTCTTGTTCAATATTCATCGGTCAACTTCAATATTCATGAATCTAAATAGGGATATGAAGCTAACTTTAGCCACCATATTTAAGACGATCGATGAATAATCATGAAACAATGAATATTTATATTTCTCTGAGGGATTTTTGAATTTATAATGGGGACAAAAAGAAATATGTTCATTGAATGTTTGATTCACGATTATGTTATGTATTTTATAATGGATTGTTGAACCTAACATTCTAAATGTTCACTTTTACATACAATTTAATTCATTTGAATCGCGCATTGTTAGATACAAATTAAATTGACCACTGATGATAACTTATTCAATTATAGCAAACCTTCTTTATCCGTAGAGTCGCTTCTGGCATCTGCTTGGGAAATGATGATACAAATGACTATCGAGAATTTCCATCTAAAGACTGTCATTTTCCTTATTTACTGATCACACAGAAAGTTTGAATAAAAACCAAACCAATAAATCACATTTTCTCTTCTAATTTTTTCAATAATAATTCATTTGTCATCGCCAATTGTTCAAGCAAAATTTCGTGTTTTCGCGCGTATTTATTCAAAGGAGAATCCTGTCGGATGGAGTAGCGTCTGCTAGAGCCGTGAACCAGAGACTGGAAAAGATTCGGAAAATCCTGTAGGGCTTGCGAGGCGCGCACTCGCTGCTGCCACTTGGTAAAGCTTAATGTAATATTTTCTGGTTCAATTTGTTTTTGATGTGAAACGGTTTGTCTCTATTCATTACTTACGTAGTTCTTCTGATTGTTCCTTAATTTCTCGATGTTACTTTAACTTTAATAGGAATATAGTTCCTTTATAAGTTACAGGTGTAATTCTTAGAATCGTTCAATAATTTGCTGTAATAGTTCAGTGAATACTTCTAAGTTTTAAATGGCAGGAATCAGACACTCCTAATCAATGTTCTACGTTATTCACGCAAATTTTTGTTAACTTGATAACAGACTTCATTTACAAGTACCTACCGTACACAATACACTAATCTTAAACACACTGTTGCCAGGTCAAAAAAATTAAATTCACCAGAAATTGGAATGAAAAATCACCAGATTTAAAAAAAAAATCACCAGAAATCTTGAAAGTTGATTTTTCAGGCTTTGGAAAGATGTATGTATTGCAATGTCGGTATTACAGGGCGCCATATTTAAATTTTAAAATTTTGCAATGCCTACTTTGTCCCTTGTCAAACAGTGTTGCCAACTATAACTTATAAAAAATATTGTAATTGGTTGAGGTTTTATTTGGGATTGGATCGAAATAAAACAACAGAACTCTGTTATTTCAGATTGTCGACGTTTCGCAATATATTATTGCATCTTCAGGACACTACAAAATGGTAAGAGAATGTTATTGTGCAGAGTCCTAACAACTCCAGTTATGTTTATAGTATTGGGAACTTACATTTGAGATTGACTTTCTATGTCATAACATGAACAATATACGAAGTTGTTAGGTAGGAACAGATTCATAAGAGACGTTACATTCACATACATGGTACAGTTTAAAACTTATCAAAAAATATCACAAAAACGTTATAAAAAAAATAATCACACATTAAAACTTAAAAAGTAAATGATTTTAAAATAAAATATATAAGACAGACACAGCCAGCTGTTACTATTACAATAATAAATTAAATAGTGTTATCGTTCGTGGGAGCAAACAAAGAAAAACCAAGTAGGGAATGGCATCCGAATCAAAAAACACTAATATGAAAGCTTTTTTGTGATGATTATTTTGTTGTTGATAAAATGTTAAAATAGGCGTTACTTAAATTTTGTATATCTGTTCTTTTATTGACGCAATTTTTATCTTTTTGTATTTCGATCATCTCAGCAATTAGTCTTTTTCTGTAGTTAAATTGTGTTTGTAATATTGTGGTGTTGTCAAAGTCGAAGTTATGTCCTGTCTCTAGTTTATGTTCTACTAATGCTGTTGGGTTAGTCTTCAAGAGAAAGTTTTTTTGGTCATTTTGGTGTTCCTTCAGTCTTTGTTTCAAATATCTACCAGTCTGTCCGATATAGTTTTTATTACATTGAGAGCAAGGAATATTGTACACCAAATTTGATTTTAATTCCTTTTTAGTCTGTGATTTGGTTTTCGAGAAAAAATGTCTTTTTATGGTATTTTGGCACTTAAAGGTGATTTCGACTTTTTCTTCTTTCTTAGATTTATGGCCCTTGAATGTTCTTTTTATTCGTTCGGATTTATATTTCGATCCAATCCCAAATAAAACCTCAACCAATTACAATTAAGGGATCGACAACAAACTAACCAAGTAAAAAATATTGTGTCAATCATTGAGGCTCGAATTTATACAAAAAAAAGCCTTGCAAATTTCAAATTTTCCATAACAGTAATTATATAAACATCGGCAACACTGTTGGGAAAACTGTCAAATATCATTTATGACAAGCGATAAGATTACTACTTATCAAAAACTAAGTGAACCTTGAAGCAATTCTGGACTGGGATCATGACAAGTAGAATTCTATTTTCATGACGTCACCCGCGACCTATTTATCGCGTATACTACAGGCGATGATCACTGTTGCTAGGCAACCTGACGTCATGAAAGTAAAATTCTAGTGGAATTCTACTTGTCGTGATCCCAGCCCAAGTTTTAATCGATGTCGCTAATACAGATAACTGTAAGCAAAAAATTTATCAAATCAAGTAGGTCTTGGAAACAACCCAGCCATTTTAAATTAACTGTCAAAAACTACAGGGCCTACTTTGAAACGTTAAATTGCGTTAGGGTTACTACATTTTTTCGACTAGGGTTGTTACGTTTTAAATTTTTCTTCCAAAACCTAATTATTTTGTGAATTTTAATAAATCCTTTGCTAAAACCAGTTCAGAAAAAATGTATTTCTATCTCTTTTTTATACAAACTAGTAAAAAAAGACACGAATACACTCAGTGCACACTAATGCCGTTGAAAATAATGCAAATTGAATAAAACAATTAAGCAAAAATAGAGCTTCAAAAGACGTAATTTTAATGAAAAAAATCGTAAGTTTGACAGCAACAATTCGCAGGCCCATAGGATCGGGGTCTTTTTAATCTACGAGCCCGAAGGACCGGGGTCTGGTCTACTTAAGTTACGAGCCGAGAGGGGCGGGGTCCTTTTAAATTACGAGTCCATAGGGGCGAGGGTTTTTATATGTGGTCACCTTCATCGTGTGTACCTGGTTTTTCAGTCTCAATTTTTCATTTTCTGAATTGAGTAGGGAAGGAAACTTCAATTAGTTGAATTTTTGTTAACTGCCGGAAAAGATTATAATATTTGTGTTTGACAGTTTGACTATTAGATGAAATTGTAGCCCATAAACAAAATGTCGGATTCGAAATTCAATATTGCCATATGGAACGGGAGAAAATGTGGCTCATCGTTGCCACATTTTGCACAATATCTTAAGAAGCTTAACAATTGAATATTGTTTTGAGAATCAAATGATTGCTTAGAGGAAATCAGGTAATGAATTGAGAATGATATAGGAATCCCCAAAAAAATGGAAATCACCTAGTAAAATATTTAATAATCATAAGTAACTAGTTGTAATTCTTGGGAATACATGGGATTTATTGATCAGTGATTGTAGTAAAATTCAACTTTGAGACTCAATTGATCAGAAAGTATTTGAGCTACCAAATTCAGTTTAGCACAGAATTATAGAAAATTTAATGCTCTTTTCAATGATATACGATATGTTTTAGTTTGCTCAAATTCGAATGAAGATATAGGCAATTGTTCATGAACAAGTCAGGATTTTTTTTTTTAAATTTAGATCCAAAAAATCTTTCTTTAAAATTGTCATTTTGAAATGATGTTAGATTTTTTTTCGATTAATTTAGACCCGCTCTATCGATTGGAAAAGTTAAAATTACGAAAATCTGAAAAATTAAAATTTTCAGTTTTTAAATTTTTTTCAAAGGATTTGGATTTTTATTTCAAAATTTTCAAATTTAATTTTCTCGGGTTTGAAGTTTTTGACTAAATTTCGAGTAAAACAATTTTGAGGCTCAATTGTGCGAAAAGTATTTGAGTTATGAAACTTAATCTAGCACTGATTTATAGAGAATTTAATGCTCTTTCCAACCATATATAATTTATTCTGTTTTGCTAAAAATTTAATGGAAGTATTGGCAATTGCTCCTAACTTTGATGGGATTCAAAAACAATTAAACCTAAAAATTGAGATTTTCTTTTTAATTTTTCTCTGTATTGAAATCATGATTTTGTAATGATGTTAGAGTTTTTTTCGACTAATTTGAACCCGCTCTATCGATTGGAAAGGTCAAAATTGCAAAAATCTGAAAAATGAAAATTTTGAGTTTTTGATTTTTTTTCCAAAAGTTACCCCCTTTAAATTTTTTTTCAAAATGTTCAAACTCAATTTTCTAGATACCTGTCAAAGATTTTGGATCAATTTTTTTTTGAGATTGTAGCCCTTGATGAGGGCTTTAAAATGGTACTTGGTTGAAGTCGTTGGCATTTACGGTTTTTGAAAAAAAATAGTTTGAAGTTTTTGATACTTTTTCGACTAAAATTCAAATTTGAGGTGTAATTGCTCGGAAAGTATTTGAGCTATGGAACTCAATCTTGCATTGATTTATAGAAAATTTATTGCTCTTTCCAACAATGTATAACTTGTTTTGATTTGCGTAAACTTTAATGGAAATATTGGCAATTGCTCCTAACTTTGTTAGGATTTAAAAAAAATTTAAACCTGAAAATTGAGATTTTCTTCTTGATTTTTTTTCTCTTTTGAAATCGAGATTTGGAAATAAAGTTAGGGTTTTTTTAGACTAATTTAGATCCGCTCTATCGATTGGAAAAGTCGAAATTCAAAAAATCTGAAAAATAAAAATTTCGATTTTTTCAAAGGGTTAAACCCCTTTGGATTTTAATTTCAATAATTTCAAACTCAATTTTCTCGAAACGCGTCAAAGATTTTGGATCAATTTTTTCAGGATTGTAGCTCTTAATGAGAGCTTTGAAATGGTACTTAGTTGAAGTCGCTAGCATTTACGGTTTTTGAGAAAATCGAGTTTGAAGTTTCTAGCTAAATTTTAACTAAAATCAAAATTTGAAGCTCAATTGCTCTAAAAGTATTCACGTTATCAAACTCAATCTAGCACTGATTTATAGAGAATTTGATGCTCTTTCCAACCATATATAATCTATTTTGATTTGCTCAAAATTTAATGGAAGTATTGGCAATTGCTCCTAACCTCGTCAGAATCTTTTAAAAATTTAGATTTGAAAATTAAGATTTTCTTTTTGATTTTTTTCTCTTTTGAAATCGAGATTTGGAAATGAAGTTAGAGTTTTTTTCCACTATTTAGATTTGCTCAATCGATTGAAAGAGTCAAAATTCAAAAAATCTGAAAAATAAAAATTTCGATTTTTTCAAAGGGTTAAACCCCTTTGGATTTTAATTTCAAAATTTTCAAACTCAATTTTCTCGAAACGCGTCAAAGATTTTGGATCAATTTTTTCAGGATTGTAGCTCTTGATGAGAGCTTTGAAATGGTACTTAGTTGAAGTCGCTGGCATTTACGGTTTTTGAGAAAATCGAGTTTGAAGTTTCTAGCTAAATTTTAACTAAAATCAAAATTTGAAGCTCAATTGCTCTAAAAGTATTCACGTTATCAAACTCAATCTAGCACTGATTTATAGAGAATTTGATGTTCTTTCCAACCATATATAATTTATTTTGTTTTGCTTAAAATTTAATG